AATTAGGTTAATACTTATTCAGGTTTATAGAAATTGTTAGAGTATGACCCAAATTCCTATTGAGATAGAATTGGGTTGATAAATTGATAAAAAGAACAAGAGTCTTCTTGGTTTGGAAGCCTGATTGAAAAAGAGGATTAAAGTTTATCGAGCATTGGAAGTTTAATCGAGAAAGGATTTGGATAATTGAAAACTTGGTTTTGGAGTTTTGGTGGAGAAAATGTCACTTCAATTTCACTAGTTGGCCACTAACTTTGATGTTCGAACATAAGGGGTGAAAAATGGAACAGAGAGCTGGCGTCGCGTTTTGCTCGAGTAACAGTGTTATCCGGGCGGGAATCATTTTTTCGATTTTGACTCGTTTCTTGAGTTGTATTTCATCCAAAATACTTGTAATAAGTTCTTATATTAACTCCATGTGATGTAGGCTGTTAAAAGACTAAACATAACAATTAGTTCATTGTTGTATGTATTAGAAATTTGAGAGAATTGTTTAAATTTAGATTNATACATTAGAAACTTAATAGATTTGTTTAGATTTAAATTGGGATTATCAAATCTTGTAAACACAATTTTAGTTTCTTGGTCTATGAAATTCTCTTTTTTTTCCACATAAAGCTTGTGTTGTTGTGTGATCCAATATTCTTCATATGCTTATTTTCTAGTTTTTTAATTATTTGGCCTGGATTCTCAACAAATTAATATCAGAGTCGAAGTTTTTTGGCGATTCTTGGAAGGTTCAAATTGGTTATTAAAGCGAGGTTTAAACAAGGTCAATTGTTTCACGGATGGTAACTATGAAATTCGAGATTCCGCTTTTGAATAGCAACAGTAGATTTTCTTTATAGCAGAACAAGATGCGGGCAGTTCATGCTCAATTGGACTTTGATGATGCTTTGTTGTGGGTGGATAGAATACCCACAACAATGACTGTGGAGGAGAAGCAACACAAGGATCAAAAAACCGTATTATAGATATATTTTCATCTTTCTAATCAAATTTTTCAGGATGTGGTAAAGGAGAACAGTGTCACTGGGTTTAGTTAAAATTAGAGTAGCTTTGTATGACAAATAGTTTGATTAGTAAGTTACATTTGAAGCAACACTTGTATTTTCATTACTTGACAAAATGTGGATATTTGAAAGATCATTTATCGGTATTCAAGGCAATGTTGCTGATTTGGAGACAATGGAGGTCAAGTACAATGAAAAGAATTTAGAGTTGATATTGCTATGTTCGTTGGCACATTCATATATGACTTTTAGAGATACTATTTTCTATAGTCGGGATACTCTCACTATTGACAAGGTATATGATGCGATTTATTCCAAGGAAAATATGAAACATCTGGTCATCGAATTTGGGGCCCAGACAGAGGGTCTTGTTATTCATGAGAGGAAGACATGTGGTCATAGAAGGGGCAACGTCAATGATAGCGACAGTGATAAAGCCTATTGGTTTTCCAACAACAAGGGGTATATGAAAAATTATTGCTATGAGTGATGGAACATGAATAAACTTGCAAGTTCAGACCAGAAGGAACAACCAGGAAATTTCGGTAATGCGAGTCCTACAAAAGAAGACTACAGCGATAAAGATCTTTTGGTGATTACTGAAGGTGGCTCCAAACCTGACGAGAATTAAATTCTTGATACAACTTGCACTTTTCATATGTGTTCTAATCGGGATTAATTTTCTTCATATGACACAATTATAATAGATTCTGTGGTGATGGAAAATAATAAGCCAGGTAAAATAGTTGGTACTGGTAAGGTCATAATCAAGATATCTGATAGGACGATTAGCGCATTTAGTTTAGTGAGACATGTTCCAAGTTTAAACAAAAATATTATTTTCTTGAGTACTCTTGATTAAAAAAGGTACAGATATGCCGGTGGAGTTGGAGTTTTGAAAGTTAAGCATGGGGTCAGGGTTGTGTTAAAGGGACGAAGAAAGTCTCTATTATATGTTTTGGAAGATTTGACGGTCACTATGGAAGCAGTTGCAGCTTATGGTTTGATAAGCAATAACTCGGGTAGAGTTGGTTGTGATCAGGGTTGTTTGTGGTGATTCGAGCAGGTCTAGTGACTCGGCTGGAGCTAGTAGTTTATGGGATGATTCAAGCAAGTTTGATGTGCAGATAGTCTTGCTAGTAAATAGGGCTTGAAATTTGTTCACAATTGTCGAGTATGTCCGTAAACGGCATGGGATACCAGAAGGGGCATGGTGAAAGAGATAGACAATGACTTGAAGAGTGAATAATAATTCCTCGTATTAAAATTCATGTCAAGGTGGAGATTGTTAATGTATGACCCAAATTCTTATTGGGATTAGAATTGGGTTGGTAAATTGACAAAAGGAACAAAAGTTTTCCTTGTTTGAAAGTCCGATTGAAAAAGATAACAAAATTTATCAAGGATTGAAAGTTTAATTGGTAAAAGGACTTTGGATAATTGAAAACTTGGTTTTGGAGTTTCTATGAAGAAAAAGTCGCTACAATTTTTCGCTAGCTTTGACGCTTGAGCATCGGGGGTGAAAAAGGGTATAGAGAGCTGAGGCCCGCCTAGCGCCAACGTTTCACTTGAGCGGTGGAGCTAGTATTATCCAGATGGGAATCTTTTTTCGATTCTGGCTCGTTTCTTGAGTTGTATTTCATCCAAAACACTTGTAATGAATTCTTATATATACTCCATGCGGTGTAGGTTCTTAAAAGATTAAAATAACAATTAGATCATTGTTGTATATATTAGAACTTTGAAAGAATTGATTAGATATAGATTATATCAAATCTTGTAATCACAATTTTAGGTTCTTGGTATATGAAATTTTCCTCTTCTTCCACATAAATCTCGTGTTGATGTGTGATCCAATATTCTTCATATTACTTATTTTAATTATTTGGTCCAAATTCTTAACAGAAACATATTGAGTAACTTTAGCTAGATACGGATTTATATAAACTCCAAAGAAATCTTTAGAGAAGAAGTAGCGTTTTCAGACAACAAAGCCATCATTGTAGGAAGGGTAAATAGATGAAAGATAATTAAACAAAGGGATAATTGCATCAAAAGCCCCAAACCTTTGAAATATTAGCAAATTTTTTCCAAATCTTCATTTTCTTTTCTTTCAATTTTAATAGATATTTACCATTTTGCCCCCTTTTAATTGATTAAAAATAGGATCGAACTTAATTTTTCGGCCAACTGACGGAAAAATGAATGGAAACCATTCAAAATGGTCTCACATGCCATGGTTGGAAATGTTAGGGGTGACGGCTGCAACAAATCAAATGTTTAGAGAAAGTGTGCTAATGTTTCAAAGGTTTGTGACTTTTGCTGCAATTATCCCTTAAACTAATGAATTCGATAGAATACGAACTTTGGAATTAAACTTGAGAAACAAGATTAAAGATAAGTCCTAGCACTCTATTTTCATTTGGTCAAACTCAAAATCAAGATTGACCAACACACAACGCAGATATTTAATTTAGTACAAGTTTATTAATTAGTTTAATTAGGCCCCTGTTTTGGCTCCACTAAAATTTCAATGAATTTTTTTTCATTTTTCTTTCCAACAATCATTATTCAATAAAATTATATTACACGTAAAATTAGATTAACCATACATTCACCAAAAAATTTAATATTTCAAAATACAATTTTTTTTTTTTCCCAAAACCTCGTTAAAATGGAGCCCAAACAAGGTCTAAATAAAATTCTTTTTCCTCAAATTAATTGTTTAAAAATGAAGTCATGACTTTTAATTTAAGTACTCACTTTAAATACTTAAAAGCACAACATTGGTCAAAACGGTTTATTATTATATTACTTGTGAAGAATCGTACAGTAGCAAAATCTACGAACATTAATCCTATTTAATCCGACTCAACGCAAGAAGCCAAATATAATGGTATGTACAATAAATACTTGATATCATTTTATATTAATAAAAATGAATTTTAGGCATGCTACGAATAGATCTACTAACGAAAGAAGGATTTTATAAGTTCAAGGACTCAATGATAGAACAAAAAAATGTACGTTCGATCGTCTTTTAAAAAGTGATTCAACTCTTAAAAGACGATCGAACTCAATATATATAAATAAAAAAATGGAATTTTGATGAATCGTCCTTAAATGAACTCAATAATTCACAATAATTGAATTGATAACTTAACCATTAAGTTGTGGCGCCATTACTTGTACAATTGAAGTTGCTTTTTGAGAAAAAAGGCACGCTACTTGTGCCAAGTGCACTTCATCTATGTGCACAATTAATCCAAAAAGCTTCTCCACAAAAGCTACTTTAGCTTTTCAGCATTTCTTTTGGTTTTTGCTTACTCATTTATGTGGTATATTCTTTTGACTCTAAAGAGCACATCCATCATAATTAACCTAACTTGCCTTTTCAAGTTTCTTTCTTGATTATATATTTTAACCTCGAACATAGTTATCTTACGTTGATTTCAATAATTTAAAATGGTCGAAAGCTGACTGTTGATGATATTCTCGACTTATTTTATATATACTTGAAAAATCAATTCACGTTTATACTCTATTTTAATTATGAATGCCCTTTATCGTTGCCACTCCTAAGGAGCAACCGCCCCCCACCCCCACCCCAATCCAGAAAAAAAATAAATTCTAATTATTTGGAGAAAGATTGGCAAAAAAGAAATAGCCATTACGAGTTCAGATGCATTTTGCTTTGTTTCAATAACCACATACTACAAGTTAATTTTTGGCATATAAAAATCACTAATGGTGGACCTTAAAGAGAAAACAACCCATAATCTTTCAAAATGCCAAATCTTATTACTCTAAACCTTGAATACGAAGATAGTAATAAAAATCAGATCAATGAGACAGTGCACAAAAATGTTGTGCCCCGAAAGAAGGGTCGAAGCTTTTCGGCCTGTAGCTTTCCCCGACCCCCGTCCCCCCTTTGTGGAGGAAGGGTCACACGAACAAACTTGGATCTAGCTGCCTCTAGAGAAGAAATTATTTCGACCTCGAACTGCATCTCGGGAATATCCTCGTTCCATTAGTTGGCAAATGGAGTTGGCATTCCAAATGCAACCAATTCTTAACTGAACCTATTGGACCTACCCTCCGTCGAGTTTTGGCCTTCCCTTTAAGATCAAAAGTGATTATTCCCTGCCTCAAAGACCTGCTAACTCCTTCGGCATCATCGGGATTCAATGGAATAGGACTCGACTGAGGTACATAGTTGAACTGTACCGAACTATTCGCCTTTACATCAAAAGGTTCAGCAACCAAATAGGCCATTTTCAACCCTAAAAAGCTTAGCAGTAAACTCATGTCTTGGAAACTAGAATGAACCTTGGCATTGTCATTCTCTGCCTTGATCACAACTGAAACTTGAACTGTCAACGAACTTGTTTGATCAAAATATAGGGTGTCGAGTTGTGCACTCGCTACTCTTATTTGAGGCTCCTTAGGCCTTATGACAAGATAACCGACGAAAACCACAATACCGGCTATGATTACTGCTACCGCTAGTATCGCGCAAATTATGGCCATGAACCAGATGATCGGATTAGTACATTTCTGAGGATGACGCACTGGCTGTGGCATCGGAAGGTAATGATGATATGGATGTTAACAAAAACTCCGTGGAGAGGATATCGATATATTCTATATGAATACTGACTTCGCATCGGTGGAGGTGATATCTATATAAACTTCCTAGGGAGGATATTAATTAATTTTTCATTCAGATGAGTTGAGAGTGCAAACAAACAGAAGTTGGGAAGGAAAAGAATTGTAGGGTTCTTGGGTGTAATTTGTGGGGAAGGTTTTGGTATCTTCTTTACCTAAGAGTAAAGTTATCTTAGTTTAAACTTGAAATGAGATGCCAAACTTGCACTCAATAGTTGGTACATACAGACACTTGTGTGCTCTATCTACTTTTGTTCACAGTTTATTAAAGTTTCAGCCTTGGAAAAAAGTTTGTGGGCCTGGTTCACGGAGGGGATTATGCTCGTTTGGGGTTTGGGTGGGCATAACAGGATTGGATCCAAGACTGGATTCAAGATCGGACTAAATGAAAAAATAAAATAAATAAAATTACACATTAAAAATTTGATTTTACATTAAAAAAAATCATCTAAAAAACTAAATGAGTCGGGGATTGGAGTGGGTTATAACCCTGCCCAATCCCCCTACATCCGCCCCTGATAAATATCACCTGCATATTGGAAAAAAAAATAATGAAGACCTAATTTTTGAAATTGAAATTTAAACAAAATAATTGAAGATTTTTCTCAAACGAAATGGAAATGCAACCAACCTCCATGCTAGCCTAAGTTTCACGGGTTACCTTAGTTTGGGGTTTGGGTGGGCATAACAGGATTGGATCCAAGACTGGATTCAAGATCGGAATAAATGAAAAATAAAATAAATAAAATTACACATTAAAAAATTGATTTTACATTAAAAAAATCACCTAAAAAACTAAATGAGTCGGGGATTGGAGTGGGTTATAACCCTGCCCTATCCCCCTACATCCGCCCCTGATAAATATCACCTGCATATTGGAAAAAAAAAATAATGAAGACCTAATTTTTGAAATTTAAATTTAAACAGAATAATTGAATAATTTTCTCAAACGAAATGGAAATGCAACCAACCTCCATGCTAGCCTAAGAATCGGATCGAATGATGAGAAAGGCTAGAAATCAGCCCAATGACAAAGACTTGGAGATAAGTGTATTTTATACACTTATTTAAGGCTTAAAATAGCGATATTTGATAGTTTTTCTGACAAAATATATTCTAAATTGTTGTATTTTATGTTATATATGTAAAACTCAATGATTGAATAAGGAATTGTAATAAAGAAGCAAAAATTGGTGAAAAAAGGCAAAATCCAAAGTTTGAGACCAAATTGTAATTATTCAATAGTTGATTCGGACACAAGAAGATATTTTGAAGATTTCTAGGAGACAATTTGATGGAATTAGAACTCAAAAAGGAATAGAAGATGATCAAAATATTATCAAAATCAATTTTCAATCGTACAAGTTATATTCCAAATTTTTAGACGAACATTGAGACCAATTTTTGATATAATAAACATTCGAATTGGAACTATTATATTTCTATAAAAGTTGTATCCTTTTGAGCTAGATTTTCAATGCACTTTGAATCACTTCAATCGGATATTGGTAGAGAATGTTATGACCAAAATACTGACTGATGTGTAGAGACAAAATTCGCGCGAATAGAACTTTTCTTATTCGATTGGGACTCTTTTGGAAACCAATGTGGATGTAATTTTTAACAAATTTTCTACTCCTACAAATACCTAACAGAAGAATACATATCGGAGACTTCTCATATACATCTCATATTTCAATATTCATTAATTATTATCATAAAAAGAGGATAATTCATAGTTTTTTTGAAAGAATTGAATGGGACTTACAAGAATTCAATTAAGTGAGAGTTAATTAAATGAGTGGCCACTAAAGTTTATACTTGGTTACTACTTGCTCACTGAAAAATAAAAGGTTATCGAATGCTTACTAAACTATTCATTTATTTACCCATCGATCACCATGGTCATTTCCCATTTAAGCAATAGGCAAAAAATTTCACGTGGCAGACGGAAAAATGATGTGGCACAAGGAATCGGTTAATCACTCCATGTGGTTGTAAATTCTTCTAGATAAACATGACTTCTCCAATTTGAAACCACGGCATTATCAATCAAAATATTAAAAAAAAAAAAAAAAATCTCTCATCAAACCTTCAAATTGAAATCAAATTCACCCCCAAATCATCCCAAATCCTAGGGTTTCTCTACAAACTAATTACTTCGTATCCACATCCAAGAAGTTCAACATCTACATTCCCAATTAATAAAAAATTCTGCAATTCACATTTCGTCTCAAATCAGTGCGAACCCTGGGTTTGTTCTCCAAATCAATATTTTTTTTTTCGATTCATGTTTGGCTATGTTTTAAGTGGAAAAATGTGGGGTTCTTAATGGATTTGGTGGTAAAATGTGATTAGTGAAGATTTCAATTGATTGAAGATGTAGATGGAACTTATCTAGAATTGGAATTGGGGAGGAATGTAATTTGGGGAAGAAAGTGATTTTGTATGAATATTTAATCAATTGGTGAGGAATGTGATTTTGAATTTGGACTACCTGTGAATGGAGAAGAAAGAAACGTGGGTTTGATTGTAAATTTCTTTTACTTATTTACAAATTAATATTTTTAGTTGATATGTATATTATTCATATTTTGTGTGCTATATCATCCGCCACGTAGAGATTTTTTCCAATTGTACAGATCGAATTGGTTTTACTGTGGATGAGTAAACTAATTAATAGTTTAGTGAGCATTCAGTAATCATTTATATTTCAGTAAGCAAGTAGTAACCATGGATACATTTTAGTATGCATTGATTTAATTAACTCATTTAGTGAATATTCAAATTTTATTTTTGGGCAAAGAAGAGAAGGCGATAGTGGAGATTTATAAAGAAACTATTGAAGAGATTCAAGATTTCAAGTTTCATCTTCATCTTCTCAATTTATCAAAAATTCGGATTATATTTTTTCACTTAAATATAATTTTTTATAATTTCGATATGTTAGACTAATTTTATACATTGCAAGAATGAGATGAATCATTGTTATGATATTTTTAGTTTTTAATTAATTATTTTGACTTGATTTGATTTATGGATGTTTATTATCCTCTTTATCATTATTTTTAATTGCTTGATCACCAATTGAATTATTAGTGAATTTTATTATTTTCGAGAGCAATAATGGAGTTTAAGCACAATATAATTAGCATTGTAATGTTCGACAGAGAATAAAGATATATTTATATACTTTATATAGTTTCAATAAATGTTTTAGTACTTGTTAATGTATTTATCGTATTTGCATCTTTCATCGAGGGATAGAAATGTCACATGTGGGGAATATATTTGATCTCTATCGAGAAATGCTTACAATTAAATTAAGAACATTAACCAACATGAATAATTTTTAAATTATCACTTTAATTGGTACACTGAAAATTGAATGATAATGGGGGGATTCGACATCGTAACAATGCATCTAACATATTTGAAAAATACATTTACTTACTTTCATTAGTTTAATTGATAATTTAGATATTAGTATAAAAAAATCACAAAATTTGTTTGTTATTCAATTAAAATTGTAATTAATTTTAAATAGATCAAACACGCACTCCTCGTGGGTTTGACAATCTATTCACTACTTTATTACTTGTTCATGATCTCATTTACTTGTGGGTTTTTAAAGGATCACCTGACCTCCAGAAAACCCAAATATTCCAGCTAAGAAAAGAAACCAAAGCCCGAAGGAAAACCTTATGAGACTCAAACTATACTCTCATTCAATGTTCTAGATAGTCAGTCTACGCTTGGGACTCAAAGAAAACACTTTGTATAAGAGCAACGCATGAAAAAAGATAGTACATTCTACCGTGACTCTCTAAGGCACACCTAGACAGAAAAAGGCACGTGCTTCCAAATAGGAATTGATCAATTTATGGGTATACCACGAAGTTATAAATGTTGTACCTATGAACCAATTCCTTACCGCGAAATAGGCATAAGGAAAGATCAATAGATTGGACCAGCCTACAAAAAAGTAGTCCCTCCGCAACCAGTCATCCAAAATACCAAACAAATCATTTGTTAGTGTTTTCTTGTTTATAAGTCTAAATCTACAAAAAGTCCAACCATAGTTAAAATTTTAAAAAGAAATAAGCCAAAAATCCAACTTAGCCCAAATGCAGTCCACGAACAATCCAAAACTCCATCTCCTTATGTCTCTATATCAAAGCATTCATCCTTCTACATCGTGTTTCTCGATCCAGTTTATGTTATAAATCTCCTGCAACTTTCTATTCGTAACAGACAAAGAGTTGTACAAGCTTTAGGCTACGTTCATATTTGATGTATTTATAAAATTAATTATTGAGTAATTGTAGTTGTTAAACATTGTGCTTAACACTTTGGTCCAATGATGTAACCTATTTATATCCGAAATAATGGAATGGAACGAGGTTTCCTTTTCCATTATGTGCATTCTTGCCGTTCGCTGAAATGCGACTTTGGTTATTATTTTGAAAGGTTGTGATGATATCATTTGGAAATGTTGCAACAGTTGGATGCTTCTAACATTTTGTATTATTTGGTTGACTCTTCATTTTGACGAAGCTTCAAGATTTTTGCCTAGGGTTTTCTCTTATTCTTTGCTCTCTGTTTTCTCTCTGAAAACGCTTGGTTTTCGTTTATAATCTGTTGGCTCCAAATATTATTGGCGAACTCTAGTGTAGATGGCTGTGTAGTTATGGTGAATCTACTCTTGGTTGAGCAGTAACCTTTAGTTACTTGATGTAATCGGGGTTGAGAATTTTTGAGAGAAGAAAATCGGGTTTGAAGGCTAAATCCATTTGGATTTCTGTATTTTGACTCTTGTACTGATATTCTTTGTTGGTCTCTAGTGGATTAGAGCGATAACCACTTTGGTGGATGCTTAACGTAGTAATTAGCCCTTTCTAGGATAAACATCCTAG